ACATGGGGTCGGTTGTGCTGATGCTACACTTCTGTTCTCTTTTGCACAGATCACGATACCGGAGCAGCTTTTGGACCACATCAGTAGTTGATTGGGAGCTGGCATCAGTCCAGGGACTTTCGAGGTAGCCTAGCTGGCGTTCGCAGGCCGGGGTCCCTTTCCATGTTTTTAGTTTGTTTTCTTTGTACCGAGACAAACATTGGTGTATTTCTATTCTGACTTGTTTTAGCACTCTTTAGTAGTTCGTGAGTTAGCGACACCAGTCTTGGGTAGAGAAATGTTAACTTCCGCTTCTATATTAACTGTCTCGTTGATCTTTATATTTGTTGATGATGTTAAGAGTAATATTAAATCAATTGGCTTGCCTAGCTCCTATTAGTAGGCGCCATCATGACTCCCGATGGTGGAAAATCCGGGTCGTGACAATAATGGGCCCACCTGTCCCCCCACACACTCAAACTCCGCCCCTACCAGCTACACCCACCATACCTCCCACCCAATCAAACCCTAATAACTCTCATAATACCAACCTACCTTACAACACACCCCCTATTAATGAAGATCCTATTAACCTCTCCCCTAACACCCCTCTAACGTGCAACAATAACCCAACCATCTCCTCTCCCTTGCATGCAAAATCTGTCAGTAAACATCTATCAAGCGATAACCAAGCCAATGAGCAAATGGCCATTGACATTCCCCACAAAAAGACACCCCATCCCAATCCGCTCATGAACCAGGAAATCTCTATTAAATACACGCCAAACCATTCAATTTGCATGCAAGAAAACAAAACAATCATTGAGATCCTAGGAAGCATTAACTCTACCAATTCGATTGTTCCACTGTCCACATTAAATTGTCCAAATTCCATAGAAAATGCCCAGAATTCCAATCTCAGCAAGAAGACGCCATCGTCTTATCCAACTCTAAAGAATAACACTCAACTCAAATATGGAACCAATCCTCCTCAAAACCACCAGAATCAAAACCAAAACAACCAGCCAAGGACGATACTGATTCAACCTCCTCTTCCTCAGAACCACCAACCATTATCGTGGGTGAAAATGGGGCTTCTAGGCCATGCACTCTCCTTCAACATCACCCTGGAAGGGAGGGAAACAGTGATAGTGATCCAAAATTCTCACTATATTGCTCAACTGATATCCGAAGGAGTTCACATGGCGATGAACAATTACATCAACCAAATATGGTTGAACAACATCCTAAACCCCATAGCCCCAAACCTCACCACCAACCAAATTCAAGCAATGAGGAGGGACTGGAACATGCCTCCAAACTTGGTCCAAATTCAAAACCCAACCCCGGCTGTGGATCTACCATTCTTCACACCGGAATTCCTAACCACCACGAACCCAGTGTTCACACCTTGGATTGCACATGCAAATCCTCCACCATCTCCAGATGTACCAGCTGTCCAAGCCATGCAAACCCCTCACCCTCATCAAAATCAAAACCAAATGGAGCAGGCAATGGAGGAAGAAATCGATCCAGTAAACTTGATCCCTCAAAACGTGGTCGAGGATTCAAACCTAGACGAGCTAAAAATCTTTCTATTTATGGAGAGGCAAGAGCAGAAGCAAATTCTTTACTGTCCATTGGCACTGTACAAGTGCACAATGGACATAAAATCCCCAGCAGACCCTACCGTAGGAAAGCACGCAATGATTCTCGTTCCTTTTCAGAGGAGGAATCCCAAATTCCCAAGGAGAATGAGGGAAAATGGAGACCTAAACAACCCACTGTTAAACATGAATGGATCAACCACTTTCATAATTTGGAACATAAGAGGGGGTAACAACGACAGTTTTAGGTTAAGCTTCAGGGATCTAATAGAAACACATCACCCTAGTATGGTTACACTTTTGGAAACCAAGATGGACAACCACCTTTCTCTCCTCAATCCCTTTGGATTCACAAATAGATAGAGATTCCAGCGGATGGTCAGTCGAGAGGTATGGTTATCTTGTGGGATCACACCAAGGTTATGGTCCATAGCTTTGTGCGTAGAAGCCAGGAAATTAGTGCCACAATTGAGGTATTCTCCCTTATCAAAACTTGGTATTTTACTTCTATTTATGCTAGTACTGGTAGTAAAATTAGGAACACTATGTGGAATAATTTATTAGACATGCATAGTAAAATTAGTGGCCCTTGGATAATAGGGGGTGATTTCAATGATGTCATATGCTCCGATGAGAAACTAGGTGGTAGAAAAATTAATCAAAATAGAGCAAAGATCCTGTGGAACTTTATTAACCACTGTAATCTAATTGACCTAGGTTTCAAAGGTCCAAAATTTACGTGGTCGAATAAAAGAAAAAAAACAAAGGCCTCATTCTAGAAAGATTAGATAGGGTATTTGCCAATAAAGAATGGATTGAATCTTTCCCTGAGGCTTACATTACCCATCTCCTTAGAATCCACTCGGATCACAACCCTTTATTAATCACTTGCAACCCTATAAAATGTAACACCTTTAAAAAACCTTTCCGGCTGGAGACATTTTGGTGTCGTCATCCTGATTTCATAAATTTAGTTAGGAACAGTTGGAGTAATTCCAATTATATCCATAGCTCCCAAAACTTTAGAGGCAATATCATACAGTGGAGTAGGAAGCATTTTGGAGACATTCACCGTAAAAAAATCTAGGATTATTGCTAGACTAAATGGCATTCAATGCTCTAATAACTACAAATCCAATTTTTATTTACAGAATTTAGAATCTAATCTTCAACAAGAGTATAGAGAGATTCTTAAATTAGAAGATGAATACTGGAGAATTAGAGCCACAATGTCCTGGATTCAAGAAGGTGACGCGAATACAAAATTCTTCCATCTTAGTGCAACCAATAGAGCTAGGAAAAACAAAATCGTTTATTTCAAAGACGATTTTGGCAATTGGATCAACGAACCCAACAAAATCCTAGNGCCCCCCGGTATTCGAGTTGATTGAAGAGGAACCTCGAATACTTGTTGAGTTTCTCCTTAGGTAGCATATAGATGTTCGCCTCAATTTAAAAACCTTGTACGATCAAACCCTTCTTAGGAATAAAATCCGATCGAAGGAAAAGATTGCAACGTATGCTTTGGAACCTTTAAGGTCTTTGTGTCGGACAGCGCATCGACTGTTCTGATCAGATATCTGCACAAAGGTTAGTGTAAGATGTAAAAAAGGGAAGATGGTTATACCTTAGTGGCGATGGCGCTTCGAGCCTCGATACCCAAGTATTTAATACTCAATATCTACCTACTGATATCAACAACACCTACATTTGTTTAATCCCCCAAAGTCCCAAATGCCAATAATCTGAAAAATTTTAGGCCCATAGGACCATGCAATACTATTTATAAAATCATTACCAAAACCATCGCCAATAAAATTCAACCTTTCCTCAATCAAATTATAAGCCCTTTTCAAGCTAGCTTCTTAAAAGGGAGAAGGTCTTCTGATAATGCCATCATAATCCAAGAAATGATGTGCCATTTTTAAAAAAAAGGCAACATGATTCTAAAATTAGATCTGGAAAAAGCCTTTGACAGATTGGAGTGGTCTTTCATCTATTTAACCCTTTTTTACTTCCAATTCCCTACAAAAATTAAAAATCTAATTATGAATTGCATCAGCACTAGCAACATTGCCATTTTAGTAAATGGCACTACAACCTCTTTCTTTGCTCCAAGTAGAGGTATCAGACAAGGCTGCCCCCTATCCCCCTTTATATTCATTTTGTGCATGGAAATGTTATCCCGACTAATTTGTCACTAAGTTGACATCAAACTTTGGGACCCCATTACACTAAGAAACCAAAACACTAGCTTATCTCACTTGTTTTTTGCAAACGATATTACTCTCATGGCAAAAGCTGATAAAAGTAACCTACAAACCATCAAAGAATGCCTTAACACTTTTTGCAATATGTCTGGTCAAAAGATCAATAGGGGGAAATCAAAGATTTTGTTCTATCAAAACTGTCCTATTCAAGTTACCAAAGAAATTGCTTCAGGTTTTAATATCAGTATAGCCAACAAGTTTGGTAACTATTTGGGGTTTTCAATTCTTAACAATGCTCCCAAAGCAAAATACTACCAATTCACCATTGACAAAATGAGGGCCAAACTTTGCTACTCTCAACTCTATTCCAAACCATGCTATGCAATATACCTTGCTCCCAAAAAAAATACTTAAGCTTATTGATCAAATCCAAAGGAATTTCATTTGGGGCACTACTTCAAATCAAAAAAAGCTCCACCTTGTTAATTGGAACACTGTCACCAAGCCTAAAACTCTAGGAGGTCTAGGAATGAAAGATGCCCTTTCAAAGAATAAAGTTTTACTGGGTAGTCTCTCTTGGAGACTCATTAACAATACCTCATCACCCTGGGCAAACCTCCTAGCACACAAATACTGCAAAAGGAATACCAAACACACCTCCTTCATTTGGAAAAGTGTTGTTAATGACTGGGAAATTTGCAACCAAGTTATTCAATGGCTTTCGGGCAAAAGCTCTAATCTTAATAGTTGGGAGACCCAATGGATCCCTCAACTCCCAACGCTTAGAGCTAGCATTGAGGGCCCTCTAAACAAAAATGAAGCTAACCTTCCTATTAAAAGATTATACCACAAAGGTAGATGGGATTTTCAGGAAACTTCTTTTACTATCCCTTCCTCTATCATGGATAAAATTAATTCTATCCCCCTTTCCCTCAAAAGCATAGATAAACCCCTTTGGAGTCTCTGCCCAAACGGGATATTCAACACAAAATCTTGCTACAACTTACTAATCCAAGGGGACATTAGTAACAAAGACTTTGAGTGGATATGGAAACTACCTTGCCCTAACAAAATAAGATACCATATTGGAATCAATATAAACCCCAATTGCCCTAGTTGCAAAAACCAAGAGGAAACCATCACTCATATTTTCCTCACTTGTCCCATAGTCTCAACAATATGGAGACAGTTCAATATCACAAATATGAACACTGATCCAGACAAACACTGGCTAACCAAGCTGAGAGACATAAATCCAATTCCCTTGAAAATTTCTTGGATCAATCTCCTACCTTTCCTTCTATGGGGAATCTGGATCAATAGAAACAACAACAATTTCAATAACACCCACTTCTCCCCTCGTATAAAAGACATCTCCAACCTAGCCTCTGAATTCCTCTTTTTCAACTCCACTGGCACAACAACTAAGGATAAATCCAGCATCAACATAAAATGGTATCCCCCACAACACGACTGGTACAAACTAAACACGGATGGTGCTTTTAAACACGAAGGTAACAAATCGGGTATTGGGGGAGCGTTCCGTAACAATAAAGGAAGATGGATATTAGGTTATCAGAAAATGGACAAGGCTATATCACCTCTTCATGCAGAACTTCAGGCAATCCATGAAGGCATGAAAATAGCAATCCAATACAACCTATTTCCACTAGAAATCGAAACAGACTCCACTGATGCTATCCATGCACTTAATAATGATCATCTAGTTATGGCTAATATTATTCATGCATGCAGGTTATTGATGCTCCAGCGGAAGGACCTGTCCCTACGGCATAACTTCCGGGAAGGAAACCAAGTAGCTCATCTTTTGGCAACAGATGCAAACAAATTGGCAACCATGCAAGAAGTCAGCAAAACTACATCCAACACCACCCCATGTTAACTCTCAACTTGCTAAAGATCTGGATATTGTTTACCTTTCCAAAAAGTCACTAGACATAACGGCTTGTAATAGACTAATGCTCCTAGGCAACCAGAATGTCACAAACATTGGGCTACCAAGTTGTGGCAAGCTGCATTCTCAGAACTTATGTACTAAGAACAATCTTTAATGCTTTCATAATATAAATATCCTTATTATCAAAAAAAAAAAAAAAGATGAGTGACATGTTATAACAAGTTAAATTAATAACAATATTTATAGAATTATTAGTGCATATAACTTGAATCCTTCATTATTTTAATAAAACCCACGTCTATAACATCTTGCTTTGCACAAAATTAGTCCAAAACGTCATGTAAACGCTATCAATATCAATGAATAAAATAAATAAAAAAAACGTAAAAAATCCATTTGAAAACTACCCAAAATCTTCTAGGTCAATGCTGTGGGTCCCTTTTAACTATTGTCTAGCATTCCATGTTTTCTTTTTGGGGAGCTTATTCTGTCTCACACAGGGCGGAGATACAGAGCTAGGATGACAGAAGGGTTCATCCGAACCGTCGAAATATTATATACTATATATATATATATATATATATATATATATATATATATATA